TGCAGCAAAGCTCTGCCGCGAAGTGAACTAATTTTTAGGTTACGAACACCGCCCGTACATTTTAAAAATGTCGTTTCCAGATGTCGAGACCACGACCTTATCACCCTTTTCTTTATGTACGCGTATAAAAATATACGTAGAGGAAAAATCGTATACATTTTATACGCGATATTTTTATTTATATATTTTTCTTCTACGAAAATAAACGGCGCAGAGTGAGATTATACTTTTTTCTGCTCATATCCCCACTGCGTTATGGAAAAAAAAAATCTAATCGAAACTCTCTTTATTATAATATTATAATACATAAACTGAGCGATTTTATTTTAATAGACGCAACGCGTGGGGGCATATCGTTTAAAATGCGTATTAAGGTTTATCGTAGCGGCGCAGGCAGACCCGTTTGGCGAATGTTATCGTTTCGGAGTGTTGTTTGTCTTTCATCGGTTTTTATTGTTATTATTGTTATTTTTTTTTTTTTGTCGTACGGGTTAGGTTCAAATATAATATGGGCGTCGTATGTATAATAATATTATGCCACTTTATTCTGATATTATTGTATTAATATTATAATATAATATGGTACGTGGGGCGTGCACGACCGAACACAATTATTATTATTGTACTCTTAAGAGTACAAATCTACACAGATATAATATATTGCGTTATGTTTCATCACGGCGTTTGTGCAGTACGTCAGTAAGTTAATAGTTTATATTTTTAAGATATGGTTTTGGAAAATTATTACTGAATATATTATTTATGGCGCGTTTAAATTAAATGTTGTTCCATACTTATTTTATTGTATATATCTCACAGCCCTATAACTACCGGGTGATCCACTTACCGAAAGACACACAAAATGCATATTATTTCAATAACTTTTAACGTTTTTGATAATATTTGCTTAGATAATTTCAAGTTTTTAAAAAACAACATTGTCCTAAAAAATTATATTTTGTTTTAAGTTGTATACTATTTTTTTAATGATTACATGCATTTTTAATACCTTATTCTCAAAGCAGAATATTTTTATATGAATACTTCGATATATAAAATTGAATGTTGGACGAGTAGTTTAAGACATGTTATAGGTGTTTAAAGTATAGATAATCGAAATGGAGTGGTACACAGGGGTCCCTGCAATATGTTGGTCCGCTCATCTAAACTTTAATAGTTTATAAATATAATAAACTATATGTTCAAAAATTTGATTTTTATATATCAAAAATTCAAAATACTCCAAATAATATTCTGCTTAGGAGTATTAAATTAAAAAATGGCTTTGCCTTTCTAACGAATGAAAAACTTTAAAAAAAAATATGTCTGTTTTTATAAAATAATGTAGCTTTGTGTTGACTTTTGAAATATTATGTAAAAGAGTTATTTTCAAAAACGTTAGTGTTTTCTCAAATAATGAGTGCTCAGAGTTAAATGTATCATTCCGTACCCAGCAATATGACAAACTATAGATTGAAAGAGCAGCGAACTAATGTTTGAGTAAAATATTATATTAGACTTGTTCAGCTGCAAGTTATGTAATTATTGTGCGAGTATCAAACCCCTACGCCTTGCAGTCATATAGTATTTTGTGTGCTACGACGATGTATGTAGGCCCTGCTGTGAGACCTGTTACGCGTGAACTGTTATATAATAATATAGTCGAGGCACCCCGCAGTTGTAAAGGGACCTTAGGTATAATATTTCTGTGCTCCCGATTCCCGTGTTGGCTTTACGGGGTAAAACGCGACACCAAACGGTGGTACGAACCACACACTCATGTGACTTTGTATAATTTAACACTATATTGCACGGAGGTAATAGTTGGACCACTGCTGCAGTGCCACGCTGTGTTACGCACCTGCAGCTAGTTAGTATATTATACATATAATATTATATTCGTACATAATATTACATATTATTATATTTATATATGGCGGTATTTTGCAGACTTGTATATTTAAAAGTAATATCGTTCCGCACGAAAACGATTACTCAAATCTAGAACGACCTTTTTTCGACCCTCGAAATAGCGCGCGTTGTATAAAATAACGCGTAAGTATAATAATAATATATTCTATTCTCTTTGCGAAATTCCGCGGCGTCGGATTTTCAAACGACCCGCAGCTATATACAATGGATATATGTATATATTACGTATAACATAATAATAATAATAATAATAATAATAATAATAAAGACCCGCGGGCGAATCGAGTTTTACCCGACCCCTAATAATAAAATGTATAAATCGATGCCGAAAGTCAGTGCAACAGTATAATGTGGTGTGTGTGTGAGATATGATGTATTATATGACGCTATTGCTCCAAATTTTCGATTGACCCCAACACGACTACTGTTAAGACGAGGATAGGACTATGTAGGTATTTACATAGGCACGACCATGTGCAAAGATAATTTCGGTGAAAGTGAAATGTCTACATAATATTTATTTATTTGTATATTTTGTTTAATACTGTAGCTGAGAGTCGATATTATATATTTTATTAGGCGTATATTTAGACTATTAACTGAAAATATATTATAACGTCGTTTATAGCGGAATAGTATAAGCGCGTATCGCGTTGGGGAACGTAAATTATTAGTTCTGACAATATTAAACTTAGGTGTACATTTTTACATATTCTAAATCTGTTGTAGTATCTTAGACTATAGTCTACCTCTATAATAATATAATAGATATTTAAAAACGTTATGCACATTGTCATCTTTATGGGATGTTCGACGTGATTTCGTCAGTTTTTTTTTATCGATAGCCTCCCGTTAAACAATAATCTTTTTACAATAATTATTTCCTCTGAGACGGAACGATTTCCGATTGAAAAGAAAAAACGCTTCTATGCAAATACTGCACAATAGTAATATATAATACTGCATTGTGTTTTTTTTTACGCAGTAAAATGTATTTCAGACGATTTGTTTTCAAACAATACTAGTTACGACCGTGTAATAATAGGAATAAACGAAGGTTAATTTAAATTTAAAAACAATTTTGTTGCATATTTTTCATTTTTATGGGCTCGACGCCACAACCTGATGGTTTTTAGTGCACGAACTTCCGGGCCCTATGTGTATAGGGTGTACGTTTAACCTCATACCATCGGTTTTTCTTTCAATCAAATTTTGTGATATATCTGCTTATGTATAAATTATTATATACCTAGAAATGAAGTGACAAAAATATCGAATATTTAACCAACCACAGTTTTTTTATTTATATTAAGCATTTAAATATACACGGTTTCAGTGAATTATTGCCATGGGTTTAACCTAAAATTTATGGTAAACCAATGGTAGATAACTCCACTTTGAATACTAGGTATATTAACATATAAAAATGATTCGTTTAACATTCGATAATTTTAGAGTAACATTTTTCAAAAATATTCTGCTCTAGATAAAAAAATTCAAATTATACAATACTATAAAAGACTTAAAAAATATTTAAATGAAGAATTATTTTCGAAAATTGTTATGTGTTATTTCCAGGGTTTGAAATCAAAACTAAATTGTTTGGTTTTAATTTCAATTCCCTCTATCGATTTTTATTTTTTCTGATTTAAATTTAAAATCATAAATATATTTCTCATAGGTTTTATAATTGCATGATATTTATATTGTTGCACAATATCGATTTAGTTGTAGGTACTATGATTTTCAATTAGATTTTGAACATAATTTTTATTTTTTTTTATATTCAAAATATCAATTTTACATTTTAGGATTTAATTTTTATTTATAACTTATTTTAACTTATTATAACTTCCTTATTTATGTATGAGAATCCTGTAGTGGTTCGCGCGACTGGGTAACAGGCCTAAGAAAACAATATATTAGTTAATTATCTATTATTATACCTATATATGAACAACATTATAATTTATAGGCCTATCAGGCTATTGTTGAATTTTAAATTTTAAATTTTAAATCTATTTGTTAATTATAAAAAAATAAAGTTTTATTTTGATATAATAAATAGATTAAAATTTTTTTTCGATTTCAATATATATTTTGAATATCATCATAATAAATATTTTATTTCGATATCACTTTTGATTTTCTAATACGAGATTTAACGATTTTTATCAATATTTAAAATCTATTTTGGAACTAGCTCTGGAATTCTCTGAAATAATAATATTTTCAGTAAAATATTTCCTGATGAAATTACATTTAAACCAATAATAGGCTTGTATGATAAACTATTTAAGTAGGTACCCGTATAACTAAAAAATAAAACCTATAGGCCTATACAATTATTAGCATAAGGAAAATAAGTTCCAGCCTAACATAATATATTAATATATAATCGAACCCTCTTCACACTGATTTGCATTTAAAAACATTTCTGAAAGAGGCAAATCATTTCTATTATAAGTTGAATGCTCGCCTCGGCTATCAATCTGTAACCTTTCGGTCCAAAGCTAATAAAATAATGGTATTAAGTACTATAGAAAACATCCAAAATGCCTTTATTAAAATCAGTTAATTATTATAAATAAGACAACAAACAAGAATATATTACTCTTGGCTTTGCAATGTAGGTACTATTTTACTCGGTTCATAATCACGCATAATACTGTACCTGTAGCCCACATGTGGTATTTATATGTTTTATTTTATTTAAAATAAAGAAAAAAATTATAAAATAATAGAAAAATATATAAAATAAAACGAAACAATAATGTTATTATTTTTCTTTGGATATAAGACAATATTATGTTTTAGGTGTTTTAAAAATTACCGACGTAGTCAGAAATTTGATGACTGTGAATAAGAGACCTTAATACACACTATATACACATGTATTTTAATAGGTATATGATAAAACGAGCCATGAACACAATTTATTGGATATCTACTGATCTGGTCAACGATCAAATGAGGAGGGGATGGCTTTTTTTTGGTAAGACCAAATAATAATAATGCCTAATAATAATAATAATAATGTTCCGTATGTTTGAAAAAAAATCACTGACCTTTCGGCGGGTTGATGTGCACTCCCGATCGGTACAGCGACTCGTCGTCCTGCCAGTCGTTGTTCCTGATGACCGTCCGGGCACCGTACACGGTGAGCACCACCATCAGCCCCATCCTTGGCCACTTAGGCCCCAAACGGCGTTCCAGCGCAGCGTAACCGTACCCGAACAGGAAGCAGTAGCCCACACTGGGCATGTACAGCACCCTCTCGGCCAGCACGAAGCCCACGTAGAAAAACATGTTGGACACCGGCACGAACGGTATGGCGGTCATGGCGACAGCGAGTCCCACGGCCCTTGCCTAAAAATATTAGAATATTGTCGATATAATTAACGCGAAGCTATTGATGTTAGCTGTTGAAAACATATGTCGTTTATTCAGGACGATTCAAAAATTAACTCGTAACCTATCTGGGTGTGTGTGAGAGCTTGGTCCTGCCAAAATCGGGCTTTTTATTTTTAAACGTCAAAATAATAAAAAATGTACTAAAAACGACTTAAACGAGTGACAATAACAAATATTATTATTAGTCTAAGAAAATACTGAAGATGGAAAACGGATAATTTTGACTAACGAACCAAATATAAAATAAATATATTATAAATAAATGTATACGGAAAAAAAATAAAATCAGATTAAAATTCGACCGAAAACACGGAGATAATAATAATATATTTATTTAAAAATAGAATACAAGCAACTACGCTAACAGGCCGATTTCAATTAAGTTAAGAGAAACAAAATATGAAATCGTTTATTCATTGATTCGAAAAATATTGATAAAAAATAAACAAAGAATGACATCTCGAATTTCGTTCGAAAATCATTTCTTTAGTTATTAATTTTCAAAAAATCCGATTAAACAATAGGCACAGTTTACATTATCTCTGATGTTATACCGAGTGAATATTTTATCAGTGAAAATATCTTGTTATTAATTCTAAATGTATACACTTTTTCGACAAATGAAACCCTTATCAACTTTTAATTATCTAATGACGTGTCCAATATTTAATAGGAATAATATTAAAAGTAAGCTTTGTCTCACAGTTCTATTATAATAATAGCCGTAACTGCAGAATGCAGATAACAACATTTTCAACATTATTGATATATTATACATATAGAATCTGCATTCAAGGGTGTAGCTAGAAATGTTATCAGGGGGGGGGGCTGAGTGTATTTTAATTTCTTACCCCAATTGAAAATTGTCTTACACAGTTACACATAAATATGTTTGTTAGCTATGGACGGATTGGAGAGGTGGTGAATTGTATCCCCTCTGTTCCATTTTTTTACACCCTGGACTTCATTAATATTAATAACAGTAACAATCGTAATGTTATATAACGGAAAAGGAATTTAAACTCTTGCAGTACTTACCGGGTCATCGGGACGGTCGGCAGGGCGATCGTACTTGGTTTTTGAACAACATCTGTGAGGCCGGTTGTGGTGCAGCCTAGCCCTGGACGCGGCTGAGGCGGACCGCTTGGCCGCGGCGAACAGGGCCACGTACAGGGCGACGGACAGTGCGTTCCTGGGGTCGTAGACGGACGTGACTGGCGCTATGGCGTCCATGGACCAGTCAAAGCTCAGCCTCCGGGGGTAGACGAGCAACCGGATGTTCTCGGCGGGCAGGTAGAGGAACGTCAGAGTTCGCGTCACCAGACTCGGCGACTTTGCTGTCGGGTTGTCGGCGGCCGCGAACACCGGTGGTCCGCTGTCGCCCATCAGCGACATCCTGGCGAACAGCAGACCGGCCGCCGCGCCAGACAGGATTGCCAGCGTCCTGTACATTCCTCCGGAGTTCTGCGAACAAAACGGAAGGTATAGAGATCAGTACCGATTATCGAGCGATAAATTATGAAAAAAATAGAAACATGAAATATTAATAAAAAATGGAAAAATTATGGTCCCGTCATCAGTACAACTGTGACGGTCGTTTTCAGCTCTTACACATCCCCCTCAAACTAAGAACACGCGATTAAACCCCGGCTATACCACACCCAAACCACCCTTACCGCGATTTCTGTAAAATTGGTTATTAAAATTCACGTTTCGAGAGTTGTTTATTCTGGGTGATTTTCGAGTTTCTGAGATATTTCAGAAAGTAACGAATTTTATGTCACTTCTCGCGTTCTCGAGTCACTGCAGCCAATTCGTCTTATCCGCGTGTTCCAGTCAATTTCATTTTACGAAAATGTATTATTTCCTCGTAATACTATTGAATTAAGGCTTATTTGAAAAGTATTACGGTGGAACTATCGCATATCCGACAAGCATTGAGACTTTTTATTCTATATGCAATAATGTTCGAAACATCGGCATCTAAGCCCATAATTAGTTTAACATTATATATTTACAATGTACGCTTAACTTAAATTAATTTTCGTAATATTCAGTTTATCCTTCTAGGAGCTTACAATATTTATGTTTGGTTGAACGTTGTAACGCTTATCCTATCTTTTGTGGTATGCAGTGTATGTTTCTTATACATTTATATTTTTGGCACTCTGTTAAGATATGCTTAACAGTTTCACATGATTTATATGTATCTAATTATAATTTATTTTCCGAGGTTAGTATCAATAATGTCGTATTATAAATGCATTATGATTTTTATGTGTGCAAAATTATTATTTTGTTTATTCAATTTAGATTTAAAATATTAAAGGAATCACGTTGTGCCCACGTGGATCGACTCATAACAACTACATATACTTAGTACCAGTAAACTTATCAACAATTAGCCATGTAGTATCACAAACATTGGGAAACTAATGCAAAATAAATTAATACACACACGAATACTCTGTATATAACTTATTTTCGTTTATCCAATTTGGGTTAAATATTCCCGAGAACACATAAGTAATGATATTAAAATACTTTAAAAACAAAGTAATAATAATAACAATTGATTTACTCTGGTTTGTAATAAATAAATCAATACGTACAAAGATATCTATTATAGGAGTCACTCCAACAGTCCAACAGCTACTCTTTAAATTATGAAAAAACTGAGCATTTAAAGATAATTTGTCGTTTAAGACGTATACTCAAAAACTCCAAAAATCAGAATTTAAATAAATGTATTATTTAAAAGATAAAATGGTTAATGAGCATACTCGGTAAGTCACCCTGTATAATATGCTTAAATAATATGCGCTCAATATCCTACAGAGAACGCCGACTTTTTAAACGGTCGTTCGGAGATCATTTTATTGCCGTTTTAACTACCGTTTTATGCGATCCATAAACATTTTAGAACTCGATATAAGATCAAACCGGACGAATGTCAAATATTACTCCGTATAAAATATAATAAACATCACTAGGTCTGAAGTTATTATTGCCGAAAAGTCTTCGACGTTAAAGTCGGAACGCGCTGCACAATTATATCCGTTAGTTTTTATGTCGTTGTTATTATTATTATTATTATGTACTTTCGATCGTCGTCGTCTCAGATGCGATTTTATTCGCATGTATGTATACTATATTCTGTTGATTTAACGAATATATATATACCTATATATACTATATATATTATACACGCTTCTATAGAGTCTCGGCAAATTTTGAAAACGTGAGTTTACGGTGTGCTTGTGATACGACTGGAATAGGTTTTAAACACACAAAACTATATGCGATATAGATATATAATATATATAAATCGTGGTCAACACGCGGTTGTTAATTGTTGAAGGCGGTGAAAAGAATATAATAGGATAGACGGAGAGAAAGAGGAAAAAGCCAAACAGAAAAGTCATCCGTAATTGATCATTTGTTTGTCGAAAGGAAATAGTTTTCCGCACTATAGTCTATAATACACACGCTGCCACACAAACACACACATAATATAATACAACACTGGCGTAGAGGGACAATAATTCTCAGTGGTCACGAGTGGTATATACCTATACCTACAGCTATAACCATTACCGCGCGGCTATGTAATACCTATAATACCTATAGTTGTACACTGGTGTATATATATATTATTATTTATGTTGCGGGCGCGTGTGCGTGTACGACACCGGAGGTAAGGAATCAAAAAGTTATCCTCAAAGTCTTGGCAAAGAACAATGTTTTCTCGTTGGCGTGCGGCAGACAATAATAGTATAATACACCGTATTTTCGAAAAGCATCCACGCGCGTTAGACAATAATAACAATAATACCTAACAATGATAATATGAATAATAATAGTATAGCGTAATGTTCCACTTTCGAGAAGTCTTTATAATGCGCTTTGGTTCGGGCCATCATCTATACTGAACAATTTATAATATTATAAGTAGAGCTTGAAACAGATATTTGATACCGATTTTGAATACTGGTTAAAACACTAAAACCATTAAAAACCGAAATCGATACCTAAAGCAAAAACAATACCAGTAATAAAAACCGAAATTGAGATCGGAAAAAATAAAAACCGGTATTCAAAACCAAAAACAAAATCAGAAAAAATAAATACCGATATCCAATACCGAAATAGGAAAAAATATTTTTGGTTTTAAGGCCTGATTATAAGTATACCTATGTATTGATATCACATATTAGAGACAATATTTAAGTGCACGCGGAAACGACAAAATACGAAACCGGTCTGAGAAAAAATAATATTTATATTGAACCGTCTCATACTGAATCATCGAGACATTATATTATTATTATTGTTATTATTTTTTTTTTTTAATGTACACTGATGATTTACTGCAGGACTGGTCGGACTTAAATGTATTTAAACACTCAAAATAGGTATGTAAAAAAAGTTTAAAATATGTTGATGAATTCACCGTGCCATTCTAAACAATAATATAATATACCAGTTAAAAAATTAAAAATACCTATAGGTAGTTCCTAACTAAACAATATTACTATAAATTATTGTTACAAAATATAAAATATGTTATTGTTTTTGTGAAAAAATAATGTCGTATAAAATAACTAACGACCTTCACATTCAAATACATTGTAATATTGTAAAGCGAATAATCCTTCAAATTAAATAATCACGTACGCAGAGGTACATTTTGTATTCACTTACAAATCAATCGTCTAGTTTGATGTTATTGGATAAAATAGTTTTATATTATGCGTATAAAAATATGGAAAATAGCGAAATACTAGTGTACCGAGGTGTGTTATAAGAATATAAATATAATAGGTCTCAAGATTATTCGATTCAAAATTCTTTGAAATGCATTCAACAACATTTAACACGTCTTGTCAAAGATGATAAAATGAACTTTGAAATAAACGCATTTAGATCCTATAGCCCTAGTTCGCAGTGATATATATATATTTAGTATTATATATCTCATAGCCCATAGGCAGAGTGGAGGAAAGTAATATTATACACGAAGACGACCGCGTTTTCGATATATTGAAAGGATTTCGAAGAGGTGGGAAAAGATGTGTTAACGGAAATTCACTTATCTATAAATTATATAGGTAAATGTTATATAGACCGAGATAAATGTAAAATCCCATAAAATATGTACAGAGATAAAAAAAAAAAACTCTATCTGATTCGAATATTGCAGGTAGGTATAACAAAATATATATGTGACATAGACATTCAGCTGTTATGGGCCGTCTGCTCAGTGTTCCTCGTATAATATAATAATGTTGGTACCTACAACACAAAAGCTAATATTTTCGATACAGTATAAGATATTTTCAGTCGGATAGAGATTAGAGAATGGGTTAACCTACCCATAGGTTATAATATAACCTTATTATAGTTCAAAGTGAATATTGCAGTGTGCAGTTGCGGTTTTATTCATATTATGGCTTTTATACAGTAGTTTTTTTTACATAATTTAAAGTCAGTACTTACAATTCTTTTAAAAAAAAATTATATGTACTATTTCTAAACATTACCTACCTACAATTTTTACTATTTTTAATGACAAGATGAGAACACACAATTTATATTTCTAAGCAAAATGTTATGTGCCCCACGAGTAATCCGTACCTAAAACCACCTATTTAAAGTTTATGATATGATAGTGGAGTAAATTTTCTCTCACATGTAGCGAGGTACCATTATTGTACATCGGCTGTTTATCAAAATTCTCAGATAAATATTTTGCTTCAGTGTGAAATAAAAAAAATGTTGGTGTTGTACCCGCGGATGAAGTGAAACTTCTTTCAGAGGCGTTCAGCCGATATAATATTAGTTTTAATAACATAAAAAATAACATTTTCAATTGGAATAAATTTATTAAATAAGTACTATTATTATAAAAAGATAAAACATATGGCAATTTAAAATTATCAGGCTTGTTGTGTGACATGGGAACACAATATTTTTCATTACTCAATTAATATATTTTTCGACAATGTAAACAACCCAACGCGTGTTTAAATTATACCAATATAAAGGTATTTCATCCATGAAATCGTTTTCGTGCAAAAGTCAATTTCTGAAATAATGTGACGCTGGCAGCGTCACACAAATTGTCGGCGTACCTACCGCCTTCAGTAAAGAAGTGTCACTTCGAAATACACGTTGACGTTTAAAAATTAAAAATTAAATATTAAATCGATAAAAAAAAATTGTGTTCAGTAGTTGTGCGACTTCTAATTATATACATTATACACAACATATTTTGTTTTTATCACCAAACAAATTTAACGAGAAAACCTTCGTTTGGTGATAATATTATTATAATCTAGTGGTACTCGTCGAGGTATATTGCACATAATCCGGAGTTTACGGTATTCAACGCGTCGTCTCCATGTTTGTTTTTCTTATCCATAGTTATTATTCCACTCGGTGATCTTTAA